TTCATTCATTCATTCATTCATTCATTCATTCATTCATTCATTCATTCATTCATTCATTCATTCATTCATTCATTCATTCATTTATTGGGCCATTTAGATATTTTTGCTTTCATTTTTAATTTTCTCAGTTTCAGTCCTCCATAGCATAGTAGGTAAGTCAATTAAATAATAAATATCTTAAGTAGGCCAGAAGAATTACTGTTTAAAATTAAAGTGAAAATGAAGTGTTGAACTGCTCACATGTTTTTATATAATTGGTTTTTAAACTTTTTAACTCGTGATTGGACAAAAACTGTCAAATAGCTGCAGATTTGTGTAGACTATGTTTTTATTGTCTTTGCATGCTGTAGTTCAGGAAGGAAACTGGATGAAAGCAAATAAATTGAGCTTTTTTATCAGTATTTGCAAGCAGGAAGATTATTTTCCAATTAGCTCTGTACGTATTTTTAACAATGCATTGCAAAATGAGCTTGCCTTTATGCTTCAACTTTAATTCAGTATTTTGAAGTGACAAACATTTATTTGTGTAAAACCAGCAGCTGCTCACTTGTTTTAACACAGCAGTGAAACAGATAAAGCTTGTTTTGTTGCTGCTTCGCGTCACGTGACTTTCTCGGAGTTTCTTAAGCGTCGGTCACGTGACCCTTCCTGACGTTAGCTGCAGCGGCAGCGGTGCTGATAAAAGTGTTTAACTCACCTCCAATCCCTGCGCGGACCAACTTAAAGAGGACAGAGACTGACGAGCAGAAAACTGAGCGGGTTTCGGTGTCAGTAGCAAGTTCTTACTAGTCCCCTTTCTTTCTGTGAAGCTAACATTAGCTTGCTAGCACRACACTTGCTAACTAGCTAGCTGCTGCTGTTTGTTGTGTTGCGGTGATTTGGGACGAGAAAATGACGCAGATGGCTGGAGTCCACTGTCTGGGAGTGATGCTACCTCTCATCTTAGGTGAGTGTCTGAACGATTTGACCCTGGTGTTACTGAGCGTCACTAATCAACACTGCGACTTGTTTCAGTAAAACATTTTACTGTGAAATATCTGCGGTCTTCTCACTGAAATTACTATTCCTTTGTGCAACATTGAAACCTTGCCCCTGCTGGCTTATTTATTTTCTTTACATTTCAGGTTTAAATCCACAGATTTCAGTAGTATTCATTAGGATAGTATTTATCTTTGATTGAGGAGCTTTAGAGGCGTTATAACTTTATACAATTTCTAATATATTTGTCTACAAACAGAGTTGTGCTGGCAATATTTACCCCTAAAACAAAGTCAAACAAAACCTCTGAATAATAACATTATCATTGCATGGTAATGTTCCAGTAGTGCTGACTTATTTAGATGCACARTAATACAACTTTAAGGAATCAAAAGGCATAGTTTGTAAACGCAATTTACACAATGAAGAATTATTTTAAGCTGTGAAAAGAAAAAAAAAGCAGCAAAAACAAAGTTTTAACCTTCATCAATCAAGGTGACTTTATGCAGAAGTAAATTTAACTAAAATGTTTTTCTGCAAGCTCTGAAATTACTATGCATTATTGAGTGTAAAGCARTGAATATAATTTAAAATCACATAAGTATCAACATATCCTGAAGTAAAAGATGAACTCGTTTTTGTTGTTAATTCACCTTCATGCTACTTTATCTATGCAACACTCTTSTATCAGAGCCTGTCAGTTATGCATTACATTTGCATTTCATCAAACCTGTTTTGCCCTTCTTATCCAAAGCTTTGTAGTGCTGATTTAAATAAACAAAGTAGCTGAGCTTGACATGCTTGGTCGGTAATATTTTCAGGGTTTTGATGAAAAAATTGCACCTGAACATGAAAGAGATGAACAAAAAGTTAACTTTATATGTCCTCTGGAAAAAGACTGAATGATCTTTGGGATGCTGTAAATCATTGTCACCTAAATTGCCTAAATATGTACAAAAGCCAGTGTAATTGCCATAATTGATAATTATTTTAGTTTATTTTTTTACTAACCCTTTTACAGCCGTCCGCCTCCAACCTCTTTACTAAATAGAAATTATTTTTTTACTCTGAACCATTAAAAGCTCATGAAGTTGGAACAGATGGTGACAATTRACACAAATTAAAACCCAGATACAGGAATTTGTCTTTTTTTTTTATAGGGATGGTAAAGCAGAAAAGTTGTAAGCTTACATTGAAAGATATCTGTACTTTCAATCACTTTTAGGTGAAGTGAGTCACCTGTTTTTGTGTGTCTGCTCCTGTTTATCATGTGACCGGGGGCGTCATGTGACTCAGATGTCAGCGTTAGCGGTGATAAAAGTGTCAAAGGTTTGCACAACTGACCTCCCTGCATTGTGTTTAGGAACAAACCAGCTGTGATTAAACAGGTTTAAGATTTAAAGTAAACAAAGAAAGAAACTGCAGATTTGACAGAAACGAGACGTAAAGATGGCTCTTTGCTAGTGAAGTGTTAAAACAAGTGTGGTTTCAAATGTAATTCACAAGTTTTATCACTTTTTAACAGATATATGTGTCATACTTGTCTTTGTAGAAGCTAAGTCTGTCATTTAATGGATGTAAAACTGCAACAGTTTATGTAGTTTTGTTTATTTTCTGGTTTGCATTACTTTTTTAATGACAAATATAGAGTCTGACAGAACAAGAGATTTGAAGTGAATACGACAAATGGCCTCTTAGAAAAATAACTATTTTAGATAGATTATTAACTTAAAAATTTGCATAAATAATCCATATTTTAAACTGGGGTTGAGTATAAATTCAGGTGCAGCTCCATATCTGTCAGCTCAGCAGATTAATCTGTGGAGAGTACTGAAACATGGATATTCGAGTCACGTTTCAAGATTAACTTGTACATTTTTAGGCACAAATCTAACGTTTGACACTTTAATTTCATAACTCAGTCCAAAAATGAAAAACACTTACACACAAACTCATTGCGAGTTTGCATAGTTTGTAAACTGACCTCTTTTATATTATCATTTTAAACTAACCTATTTGAGTTGCCTTATTTTTTTTCCCTTCTTTTTAATTTTTGCAGCTGCTGCCCTGCATCAGGGTTCTGCTATCGATGCCACTCCGACTCCCCAAACTACGACCTCCCCACACGCTGACCCCGGACGGCCCGAAAGAGGAAACTACAACGTCAGCGACAGCAACAAGACCGTGTGTTTGCTGGCGTACCTGGGCCTCCAGCTCAACGTCTCCTTCAACTCCGCCTCCCAGAACAAAGTGCTTMAATAAAACCGTCTCCTTTTGTGTGAAACTGAGGTGCGAGCTTTTTGTTCAGACCAATTCTGAATCTGTTTGATGCTTTTACAGGTGGTGCAGGAGGTCGTGAACATTAAGCCCAATGAAACAAATGCTTCAGGTTCGTGTGCCACTGAGAAAGCCATCCTGCTGCTCACATCAGACGGAGAGACAACCAACCTCACCTTTGCTTTTACTCTGGTGAGTTGCTTCATCATGTCCTGCATCTTGTACTTCATAAAGAAGCCACTAGATGGCAGACTTGGGTTGAAGGTAAATATTAACAGCTGTGCTGTTTGTCTCCAGAATACTACGAGCAGGAAGTACCACCTGAGTGAAGTCTCTCTYAGTGCAGCCTGGCCCGACATGAAAGGTGAACCTTATCTGTGATGTTTACTCTTTACAGTGTAACCAGCTTTTTTTTAATGTGTGCGACTAGAATCAGATCACTTTAAGAGCCGACAGAGTTGTTTCAGTCAAATCTGTAAGATAACGTTTTGTGAGGGGTCACACTCAGACTTAATCAAGTCAATAGAAACAAAGTAGATTTTATTAATATTTGAACTATGGTGAGTAGGGCTGTGTTTTGGCAAAAATTTGGCAATACGATACATATCATGACAGAGGGGTCACAATACGATATATCCCGATTTATATTTCGATACTGTAAGCAAGGCGATATATTGCGATTTTTTTTTTGTCAAAAAGTTCTATTAAATAAAAACCTCTTACTGGTAAAAAAAAATTCATTGTCTCAGAAAATTCTATTACATAGACATACTTTGATACAGCTGTGTTCTGCTTTGTATGTATTTTATTTTAGTTGTTTCATATTTCTTATTTCATCCATGTTTTCAATTATTAGACTAAATTTGCCAATAAATAGTTTGAAAATATATTTTTTACAGCTTTTAGTTTTTAATATTAATTTACAATATGTCACCCAACACTTAACAATAGTCTTTATGTTGTCATAAAGTTCAGTAAACAGATGATATGAAGCTGCTGCACACAGAGTTTCTGGGNAACACTTAACAATAGTCTTTATGTTGTCATAAAGTTCAGTAAACAGATGATATGAAGCTGCTGCACAGAGTTTCTGGGATCAGCTGACCTGCATCCAGAAYSTRATTTGTATAACTGTGGGTCGAACAGCAGGGCAAGTCCCAAAAATAAACAGTAAATAAATGGAGAAGCTAAACAACACAGTTAAACTGTTTTTGAAGTGAACACAGCAGGATAAACTTAAAGTATATGGACTTTGATGCAATGAGCTGAACATTGGGCCTCATACAAAAACATGTTCATATTCTTGTCCTAAATTTCTCTTACTTTTGTTCRTAYRAACATGCCACGTCGGATTCAACAAACTCTTCTATCTTCAGGAAAAGTGTGTAAATGAGCTGCGTAAACATGATGAATTACACCTGTTCGTACCCAGCTGCTCGTGCACGTGGAGAGGTAATTTACATGATAACCACCCCAAAAACACCATATAGAAATATGTTTCCTGACCGACATACCAGGAAGTGTCCATTCATGAATGACCGCAAAGTAAAGAAGAAGAACTTTACGAATTCGGAGATTGCAGTTCTGCTCTCGGAGATCCACACAAAAAAAGTMATTTTTAGCAGCGTCAGCTTGGAATTAAAGGATCTGCTTTAAAGCCAAGGAATGAAATGACGACTGCTGTTAATGTCGTGTCTCCTGTGGGTCGTTACAGTCACAGATATAAAAATCTAAATCATGTTTATCTCTCTCTGTAGTCCTGCTCCGGTTTTTCTTTGGTCAAATATTTTTACATTCAGTGTAAACAACTGTGTTACATAGTTTTCTTTCCTTTTTTTTTGTTACATAGTTTTCATTTATACAGAGGAGGAGTCGTGCACCGCTACAACACCACCACCCCCGCCTGTCC